AATTCGGCTTCGGAGCGGAACTAAATATAGAAAATCAGGTTTCCGAAATGCAGCAAGTTTATCAAATTTCACTGGACGTCAGAAAATATATGGCTGACAGAAAAAAACAAGAACAGAGCCTGAAGGCAGGATCGGCTTGTGGCTCTTGTACAACAACAAGAAGATCGGAGAGAAAAACAGAAAATCCTGGGAAGCACAATGGAAGAAGTTCGTGAAAAGCTTGAGATTGTTGGTGACGGAGTAGGAACTGTTCTTCAGGAAGTTGGAACTGTTGTTCAGGAAGTTTAAACTTTCCGCCAAGAAATGGATAGTATCCAGAAGAAAACCTAATAGTTGGATAGTGCCGTGAGATCAGGAAATGTCTCAGTTTTGCCAGAAACCGGTATTGAAGTTGTGGCTGTCGCAATGACTAATGGTTCGAGCTCCGATGACATGGCTACACGATTGATCGCAGCATTACGTGGCCCGGCCTTATATAGCTATCAGAGACTCTTCTGCCAGCTTCCCAAACCAAACATGAGGGGCCTATTGATGCGTTACAGCGTCATTATGGGGATCAACACCGCTGGCAGCTCCGCCAGGTACAACTAAGAACAAAACAACAGAAAGCAGTTTTAATTTACAGAAAATTGGAACCGATATCCGCTGTTTGAATAGTTTGGCCTGTCTGGAAGCTACAGAGAATGCTGCTTGAAACAAAATCATCAAGTAGCAGCGTAGATTGATTCAAAGCTCCAGAATCGAACAGGCCTATAAAATATCCAAAATCAAGATCAAAGCTGTATCATTACAAGAAAAAAAGCAATGAAAGACATCAAAACATAGTGAGAGAACTTCTGGAAAAAACACGGAGTTTTTAATCAGAACTAATCAAGGGAATTTGAAGGGGGCATCGAATATAATTGCTGCGGAAAAAGAGGAGGTGACTTTAGAGGACAACTGAGTCTCGCTCGTTCTGGTGACTGTCAGCCTTCAATTGAGAAGTTGCAAATTTGCGTGATTTGGTTTGAGAGGTGGAGTGATACAAAATAACATTGCTGCGGAAAAGCCGACGTCACTGTGCCCAATATCAAGAGTTCAATTATTCCATTGTGTGCTGCAAGCATTCACGAGAATTCTATAGGAGACTGAATGGTTTCGTATATGAAAACGCGTAGCTTGTCAGTCAGTTCAAAAAAATGAATGTTGTATACAGTTGAGTAAAAACGATAAGTGATTCGTGAATTTTTTAGAGTCCGTTAGTTCAACAAAAGTTATTGTTGTCAGTAGAGTTTTAGTGGACCCGCGGAAATTGTGACAAAATTTTACAGTTTCGCCAAAAAAAATGCCGTTTTTTAGGGTTGAAATTCTCAACTAGGTACTTATTTTCAATGGAATCACAACCACATGTATATCATAAGTCAATCAAACAGTTATGTCCGGGTTAACTATGAACAATGGCGTAGGAAGTTGAACTTTTACCGATGAAAAAATATGCTGCTATCTATTTTGCATAAGGCATTTTTCGTGCATGTTCTTACGAAAGTGCCTACTGCCTATACACTCTTATTGTAACGCACCATAGACTGAAAAAAACGATGTCAAAGTGAGTTGATTGGCATTCAAAATAGTTGAGAATTTGAAGATTGAAAAGATGGCAGTTTTTTTACTCAATCTATATAACTGTCGACATAATTTCGTGAACCACCAACTGATGTTAAAAATTATAAGCATTTGAGATGGATCACTCTCGGTTGTATCCTATGGATTGTAGATTTTTAAAAGATCATTATGGATAGACTGTATGCGTAAAACTCCCTTACAATTATTATAAAAATTAAATTAACAAACATATTTTTTAGTGTCTTGGGAAAAGGAGCTCTCATAAATTTGGCTGTGAGAAAAATCAGCAAAAGAATGCAAATTTGAAGCCTAGAACATAAAACTTTAGATGTTAGAGTTGCCAGAGAAGAACTGCAAATTCACAAAGGAGTCTTCTACAAAAAATTATATACTTTTTATTTTGAAATTCTGCTAGAAAGCTCCCATTATTATATTTTCTGAGGTAGCTATGAAATGCAATTTTCCAATGTCCGAAACTCTGAAACTAACTATTCTATATATGTATTTTCTTGGAATAAAAATGTTTGAAGACAGACTAAGCTAATAGTCCACAGTACATCGCACCTTTTTTTTAATGATTAACACTCGTCTGAAACTTCGTCATTGGTTTTATTTTAATATAACCTACAACTTTTCATCTGCTAAAACTTCTGGAAATGGGCCGTTTGCATTCTGGAGAGAGGTGAACATGTAAATTTAATGAGTTTTAATTATATTTATTAAACAACTGACTGAAAATCAGCGGGTTGTTGGTAAATGTTCCAAACCTCTTTATTTTGACATGTTCGTGGTGTAGGTCTCACCAAACGGACCATTATTTTTGTAGGCCAAGTTTTCTTTCAATTTTTATATTATTATCTTTCGATTTAAGTGGAAAGCAAATGGTTGTCCATACCTTTTCACTACCTACCTCAAAAGGCCCATTTTCAAAAGTTTTAGTAGATGAAAAGTTGTAAGTTACGTCAAAATAAAACCACTGACGAAGTTTCAGATGAGTGTATACATTAGAAAAAAGGTGCGATGTACTGTGGACTATAACAATTTCTTCTGGAAAATCCAGAGAATGCACTCAGAAGTTTGTGTTTGCTGTACCTACACGTGCTCCAATTAATAATACATACAATAATCACTTTCGTCTGGAATAATACTTAAAAAATAACGGCAGTTGTATACAAAAATATGTTTGTGAAATGTAAAAAGCAACAATAATTAAAATTAAATACACTTATGTATTAAAGAGCGCTTGATAATTATTGTATAAAGAGTGTATATAAAATCACTAAAACCGAGCTTAAAACTATAGTATAATATAGGCAAAATATAGCTCTCGATCACTTTGTAGGAACTATTTTTATAGAAAAATAATATTTATAAAAATTGGTATACGTGATTAAAAAAAAAAAATATGGTGAACTTTAACTTATGTCGTTAAAACTAGGGAGTATTATTTTTAGGATTATTTCAAAGACTTACATAAATAAATTTAAACTTATGATATTGCGAACCAAAGCTGATTGGATAACATAAGGAATTCTTGTGTTCGCACTATCAAAAGCCTTTATACATTGTGCTCAGATTCGATGTCGATTGAATAGGAGACCTGAAGATTGAAAACTGTGACATGGAAAAAGCTTTGGGAAATTTAAGAGCCAAACAATATCAGGTTGAGCAAGGTGAGGCTTGGAATTTAAAAAAAAATCTGAAATTTTGAGGCAAATGTAGGCAAAAGTACATAATATGGATACGAAACAAGAAAGAAAAGTGGTAACTTTGTTGGAAAAAATGAATGCATTGAAATGGCTTGATACTGGAGAACAGTCAATTGAAAGCGATTTCTGATGCAGCGGGGTTAAGAACCGTTGACAAAAAAAAAACGAAACCAGAGACCAGAGTGGAACCCTGTGAAGTCGAAACCTATGAAATCCAGTATTTTTGATGATGTGCATGGAGCTGATGAAACGTTATATTTGTGGTTCAAACTCGCGGTTTTCCGATATCTGGCCCGATACACGAATAAATTTCATTAACTGATGCTACTGTGGATTTTTGAACAAGGGAAGGTGGTGGAAAAAATGATATCGAGCTAGATACGTAACTTTGCATTATATGTGTGAAAAAGTTATCTGCCAAGCACAAGTTTTTTCTTACACATTATATTTATTTTCAAATACGCCTGAAATACTTCCGATTTAACGATTTATTATCGCTGACATTTTCCTATGTTTGAATCTTTTTATCACCAATTCTGAACACACTGTATAGCAATAATAGTGTATAGTAAATATATATATTTGTATAAATATGAAAAAACAGGAAAAAAATTATACCTATACAGGGTGTCCCACCAAAATCTACAAAGGCGATAACTTCGGGACGCGTCATCCAATATAATTGATATATTGGTATCTAGGAAACTTTTTGTGTCGCTTCGACCTATGTTACATCCAATTTGACCATCTCTGTTTTAGTTTTGGTCCAGTGTCGGCTTTTACATCTCAAATGTGAGATATGATGGTAGTAATTTTGTATCATTTTCATCAACAAAGCTGTAACAAGTATCGCCTAGTCGATGTTCTAATTCAATGCTATAATATACCATGCATTTAAGATGCATGCGTCACTAGACCAAAAGTGCTAGAATTGGATGAAACATGTTGAAGCGGCACAAAAAGTTAACTAGACATGCAAATGTTCAATTATATCGGATGTCGCGTTTCAAAGTTATCGCCTGGGAAGAATGTGGTGGGACACCCTGCATATATATCTAAATAAGAATTATGTCTATGTATACAGAGCAAAAATATCAATATTCTCCCTACACCTAAAAAAGCAATAATTATTTTTTGTTTGGATAAAATTTTTGCAATTTTTAGAAATTTTTTTATAATTTTTTTTTAATAAATTTTAATATCACGATGTCGTGCATCTATTTAAGGCACTAAATATTAAAATTTTCATCCAAAAGGCATAAAATAAAATCGAATAAACAATAATTTGGAATGTATTTAAATTTTGTTGATAATGAATGGATATTTGTTAGGAACTATTGATCATTATTATTATAGGTGGAAGAGATTGTGGGAGTATTATCATCGTGTTTCTATGGCTATTGAGGAACTATTTATTGTCTTTATAGGTTTCTGTTTTTGATTAAGCCCAGTTTTGTATGTAAGACTTAAATCAAACTAAACATAAAAAAACATAAATAAAAAAAATTGAGTATTGATTTATGTCTTTTGTGATGTTTTTAAACTATTTTTTCTAAATTAAAATTAATAAACCAATAAAATGTTTTTGAGCAAAATAAATAAACCACCAGAATAAGCATTAAAACGGTTTCAAGCACCATAACCAAACAATTATTATTGGTCTATTGCTATAAAAAGACCCTGCAAAATTTATTTGGAAGCATTATCTTGCTCCTCAGCATCACCCATAACTTTCACAGAACGTTTCAAAGACAAATCTTTAACACCTTCAATATTAGAGGTTTCGTAGTTTTGACTTGCTTCATCGTCACCGCCCATTTCTTTTTTAATAGCTGTCAGATCCATGCCTTTATGCATGCGTTCGGTATGCCTGAGCATATGCATTTTTTGTTTGGCTTTGTAGCTACAAAACGGGCATTTGAATTGTGGTTCTTTGCCGCACTCCCATTTTTGATGATTGCGCAATGAGCTACGCAGTTTGTAAATGCGACCGCAATCTGGGCAGACGTGACTGCCGCTATTATCCACTGGTATTTTAAGCCCTAAAATGATAAAAATGGTTTAGAAGAAATTTAAAACATTGTTGCGAGATATATACCTTTAGGTTTAGGCAACTTAGCCAAATCAAAATAATTATTTGGATTTTGTTGCACATTTTGAAAAACCGATTGTTGCAAATTTTCCCTTAACAACATCATTGGTAACACTAGATTTGGTGGCCATTGCGGCAATGGCTTTGGCAAACGTAGGTCTTGGGCTACAAATTTTGACAGGTTAAAATCATGAAGAGTTAAATTTACAATTTGATGAAATTTACAGTTTTTTTTTTTTGGAATATTACAAACTTATCAAATATATTATTTCAATAATAGCATACCTTTTCCCACCATAATCGTTAGATGAAGCTTTATTTATTTTTTGTGAAGTACCCACCTTCCATAATGCTCAGAGTTGTTTATAGAAGCGTTAAAAGGAAAAAAAAAATGTTCAATAAAAAACTAATAAAAGTACATTTTACAAAACGAAAAAGACATAATAAGTTTTATTTGTGAATAACGAACATACAAAAAATATTTACTAGTTGAGTATTATCAAAATCATAAAAAAATAGTTAGAAAAAATTATTCACCAGGTTAGTATTACTAAATTCTAGAAAAAAATATATACAAACAATACTATTCTAGTAAAACAATGCAAATATACACACAAAAAATATTTTATAGGTACATAGTTGAGTATTATGAAACTGGTGAAAGGCTCGAGCATACAATTTTCAATGGCCTCTCGTATATCATGTAGTTCGAAAAATTAAGAAATTGACATAAATAGCTAAATCTGCCAGGAATAAGGCAAAATTAGTGGTCGGCCTCAAATGACGGTACATCAAACGAATTCTTGGACAGTGGATGTTTTATTGACAACTTCAATGCATACCTATTTGGGAAATACATTCGAACATTTTTCCCCACACGGCCTTGGCATGCCTCATTCGCGTTAAATTTTTTTTTTAGGATAAAAATTACATATTATACAAAAAAATAGTAATTAAGGCACTAGTGATAATAAACTTTATTGTCTCTTAACGCTGGCACTCTTGTTCGGTTAACGCCGTTAAATTAATCACTGTTTTGTATGATTTTAATGCTATTAGGACATATTATGAAATCCAGATTAATTTAACAGAAAGCAAAAGTACCAGCCTTAATTGATTTAAGTCTGACTGAATTGAGAAGTCAATCCAGTGTAAAATCTCATATCTGGATTATTCTCTTGCAATAATCCAATGTGTTCTGGATGTTGCCTTGTAATATGGCGTAGCTGATGCGACTTCCTTTTGCACTTTTGAGGACAGAAAGGACATGGAAATTGAGGCTCCTTGTCGCACTCGTACATTTGATGACGTTGCAACGAGTCCTTACGAATATAAATCCGGTTGCATTTGTTGCAGGTGAAGCTTCCTTTTTTCCTTACGGTTGGTTTCTTTTGAACTTTACATTTCTCTTCTTTGATGGATTGCAATAGAAAATGTTCTAGCTTTCCTTCTAATTTTACAATTGGTGTTGAGAGTATGTTGATTATTGGTTGTTGTGCTAAAAATAAAAAAATTATTAATAATAATTTGCTTGTTATATTTAGTTTGAATGCCTAAGACAAAGCTACACAACCATTATTCGTAACAATTTTTAATATTTTAAACTAAACTAATAGTGAATTGACAACATATGTGAGTTCATTTTAAAATAAAAATGCAAACTAAGTCCTTATCTCACAATCCTTTATTTTTTGATGCTACCGGTTTCGGGGTCTAAAATTTACACCCCATCTTCAGGCAAAAGAAGGATACAAATCACAAGTACATAAAAAGTGTTTCAGTTGAAAAAATCACAGTCATAGGAATCATATTAATATTTGTCACAAATTAAAATTAAGTTAAACTAGGCACATAAAACATCAACTAGACATAACGACATAACAACAAGCAAAACAACTTTTTATGTACTTGTGATTTGTATCCTTCTTTTGCCTGAAGATGGAGTGTGAATTTTAGACCCCGAAACCGGTAGCATCAAAAAATAAAGGATTGTGAGGTAAGGACTTCGTTTGCATTTTTATTTTAAACCAAACTATTTCAGAGAATCTTAATTATTTTTTTAGCTACTTGATTTTCATTATTTGATGAGTAAAAATTTAAGTAGCGCAAACTGGAACAACCACAATTTTGCTGCTGTTGTCACAACGGATTATTTGCGTCAGCCTGAAGATAGCCTCCTCAGATTGTTGCCGAGAATAGTTTAGTTTGTTTAGCTGGTACGATGTTGTCCCTATCACATCGCTGATTGTGAAGAGAAGTTTTGAAATTTTAAATTCTTTTAAGGTGGCCACGGCACCCAGCTATTTTTTTGGTCGCCTATCTTTCGAAAAAGGCCTTGCTATGGATTATTTCCCAAAAATAAAAAATAAAACACGCTAAGAATTGAAAAAGAAAAACACTCCATACATTTTTAGATAATCGATCAAAGAATGATTATGCCAAATTTGACCCAATTCTGACGTTCCGTAAATGGGCCTATGTGTGCATGGGGACTTTCCCCATATATTGCCCCCCCCCCACAGGGGTTATGTGAAGAGATATCAAAAAATTGTATATACAAAAGTTTTGGGGTTTTACCTGAAATTTTTGAAGCTGATGTCAAAAACTTTTTTGTTTTTTTATAAATGTCAAATTTTGACAGATGGTCAGTTTTTTCTTATGGAACACCCTATACAAGGTGTTCCGAAACTATTGTGCCAAAAATTAAGTGATGATAGATCTCGCCAAAATAAACGTTTTTTACTGATAAACCCATAGGCGCATGCGCCTTGGTTCGCACATTACAGGCCACGCAGTGGTAGCCATCTTACACACAGAGAAACATGTTTGAAGCAGAAACTGTGTTATTAAATAATGCAAAACGCAAGAATTGCTTGCAGTATTTATTAAAAACAATGATTCACATCAGAACATGCTCAAAACTACGACCACCCGCCTTGTAGCATAGCTTCCTGAACACGTTGAGAAGTTTCTGGCGTTTCGCGAATTTCAGCAGCCGCTGCAACAATCCTTCCTACTAACTGTTCCTCTAGCTGTTTCAACTGAAGTGTTGTAAGCAAGATCGAGCTTTCGTGTGACCCCACGAAAAAAAAGTCGCATTTCGTCAGGTCTGGTGAACTTAGTGTTTCACAAGACAAGATTTCTTGTCTTGCTGGACCTATTGCAAAACAGTGGCGGATCCGGGGGGGGCGCGCGCCCCCCCGCACCCCTCCCCCCTGAGAGCCTCAAAAACTACTAAAATTTTAAAAAAAAATCATATTATAGAAACATTTTATAAAAGAATTTTTGAATAATAGTACCTGGAAAAATTTTCCAACAAATTGTTATAGGAAAATTTTCCGAGCTACAATAGGTATTGTTCAATTTCTTGTTTCGTTTTTATCAGATAAATGGGTTATATTTTTTTTGGGTATAGGTATTTTTATTTGTTATTTTCGGTTTTTTGATATTTGCAGGGTTGTCCAATTTGGACACTTTTGATAGAAAACGTCAATTTCTGAGCGAGATACAAAAAAATCAACCCCCACTTTGAGGCTCAAATGTTATGATATCTTGAACCGTTTTAAGGCTAGAGAATTCAGTGACTTTCTCAGTTTTTTTCTTCTTGTTCCCTAATTCATCAAGATTCCATGACATTTGAGCCTCAGCAGAGCGGGGGGTTCATTTTTTTGTATCTGGCTCAGAAATTGACGTTTCATATCAAAATTGTCCAAATTGGACCACCCTGTACCTACATTCTTTAACGTATAAGTAAAGTAAAAATACATTTTCAAAAAATCATTGTTGATAATTCTAAGCCTGCGCCCCCCCACCCCTGAAAAAAATCCTGGATCCGCCACTGCTTGCAAAGCAAGGCAAGAAATAAAATTATTCTTGTCTTGCCCGACTCTTGCAGAAAAAAATCTTGTCTTGCAAACAAGATTTCTTGCAATTTCTTGTTCTTGCATTATTTGTTTTGTGACGTCATAGCAAGAGTCTTGCTTGCAGGAGTCTTGTTGCAAGATTCTTTCTGCAAGACTCTAACGTCACTATTTTATGCACTACAATGCTAACAGACCTTAAAAAAATTCGACTTGATTCTTTGATGGTTGAAAACGAAAAGGCCTTCACTTTGAGCTTAAAATTCAATATTGTGTGTGCAGTGTCGTTGTCCATAATGACCAAAAATTTTCCTAGCCATACTTGCTGCAAGAACTGTTGGAAACTGACATCTGTTTAAGTGTTTTGAAACGACAATCTCAAAACGTTTTGTAGCAAAAAAATTCCTTAAACTCTACAAACTGACATGCTGATATTTTCATCTCCTTGTTAACTGCTGCAACGTTGCCAAAATTAATTCAAAAATATGCAGAGAAGGAGATTTAATTTTTTGCCAGATTGCAATAGTCTTGCAGAATAATTTCTCTTCTTGCTTGGCAACTTCTTGAGAGAGAAATTCAAGAGAGTCTTGTCTTGTTCTTGCGGCAAGAACAAGATATGAACAAGAAATTTGCAAGAATCTTGTGAAACACTAGGTGAACGGGAAGGCCATGCAATAGGTGCGCCGCGCTCTTGCCAATCCCTCTTTCCAGATTATATTTCGTTGAGATGTTCCCTTGCGACTACCAAGTAATATGGTGAAGCTTTGTCGTCTTCGTACCCCATGTTTTGCCTGGCATATAGGGAAACAGTTTCTAACAGTTCGGGAAGGGTTTCCTGCAGAAACCTACTCGATATTTTTGCTACGGCATGCATTGAGGCGGATGGTCGTAGCTTTTAGCATCTTTTGATGTGAATCATCGTTTTTAATAGATACTGCAAGCATTCCTTGGGTTTGGTGTTATTTAATTACACAGTTTCTGCTTTACGTTTCTCCATGTGCAAGGTGGCTAACACAGTGTGGACTGTAATGTGCTATTATCACCTAACCAGAGCGCATGCGCCTATGGGTTTATAAATAAAAAACGTTTATTTCGGCGAGATCTATCATCCCTTAATTTTTGGCACAATAGTTTCGGAACTATATGACTTCATAGTTGGAAAGAGTCAAATTTTCTGATTTGAAATATATAAGGTTTATCTACTTTTAATTAAGCCGTTTTGGGAATATCGGGGTCTGAACTTCAAGAGAATAATGCATTGAAACACATCAGCTGTGTTCCAACCGTTCTAGAACGGTAATTTCCAGTTACCCACCTATTTTTCAATAAGTTGAACGTTTAATTTTATTAACAAATGAATTGATCGAGTGGAAATTACCGTTCTAGAACGATTCTCATGGCGGTTAGAATAGAGCTATCGTTTCAATGTATTATTTTCTTGAAGTTTAGAGCCACGGCTCAATCAAAAGTAGTTAAACCACATCACATATATTTGAAATCAGAAAAATCGACTCTTTTCAATTATTGTAAAATCATCCATAGGGTGTTCCACAAGAAAAAACTGACCATCTGCCAAAGTTTGACATTTCTAAAGAAAGAAAAAAGTGTTTGACATCTGATTCAAAAATTTCAAGTAAAACCACAAAACTTTTGTTATTTAAAATTTTTTGATATCTCTTCACATGACCCCTGTAGGTGGGGAGTCAATATATGGGGAGACCCTATACATGGGGAGCTGTTGCCACCTTAAAGGTTTTTCAGAATTGTACTATAATTAGACCATTGCATACTGAAAAAAAACATATTTGGAGAGAGATCTCTGTTCCATTGTGAATTGATTACTGATTTTTCAGTAGGTACCTATTAATTGCTAGGTAACGCGACGTTAATTAAATGAAATTCCATTAATTGTAATCCAGGCCTCTAGATTGACTGAGGAATAACTTGAAGTTTACTGTTGTTAGCTGTATCAGCTAACAACTTGATTGTAGATGTACTTCTTTCTCAGGTCAATAAATATAACAAATGTCTGTATGTTTGAGGTGGATTTATAATATCACCTTGCATTTTTTTGGGACTTACACCTCAAAAAAAGCAAAAATTTTTGCTTGAAAACTCAAATTCGAGTATTCAAACAAATTTACGAAATATACGAACAATTTTCTGCCTTCTTTATTTTTTAGGTGTTGCATCCCCCAAGCTTCGACAACGGTAGCAGATTTGGTATCGAAACGTCAGCAAAAAGTCCAGAAGTCATACCTCCGAGCCTAATCAAGTATTATTTTATTAAAATAAAATAAAACTCGAATCGAGTATTTTATTTTATAAAAATAATCTGGTAGGTAAAATAGCTCTAATCAGAGAGCGTGTAGTAATTCGTTTCAAGATCAAGAAACTTTTGGTAATAATTTCAATTGAGGTGTAAGTCCCAAAAAATGTAAAACAATCAACGGTAAAACCAAAAAGTAAATTATTAGAAAACAGAAACTAGAACCATATAGGTCCTTCTGGAATCAACTTTACAAATGACGAGAAAAAAAAATCAAAATCCGCATTTTGCTTAGCGAATTTCCGCACAAAAGGACGTGGCATTATAAAATATTTTACAATGTTGGCGATGGAGATGCTTCTAGCAGTTTTTTTTGTGCTTGGTGTATAAATGACGTCTCAAATTTCCAGATCTTTTAGATTTGTAATTGCAAATATGACAACAGTGGTTTGCATTCCTCCTACATTCGTAAGTATGTTTGCTCAATGATCTGCTACTTTTACAGATTTGGCCGCACGAAGGACATTTTAAGCCTAAAATTGATAAAATATTATTAGATAATAATTTGTCAGTGTACTTATTTCTGGAGTAAGAAAAACTATTTTATGATTAATAAATAGGTATATTTTTTCGACAAAGATATTTCAATTAGGTATTATAATTGGTTAAACCATGAACATTCTTCAAGTGTTTGAACATATCAAATCGATGCTTGGTTCTTGTCTCGCAATAGTGACATTTGAAAAATGGCATTTTTCCACATTCGTACTTTTTGTGCCTTGTTAAAGTTCCATTTGTCATATAACTTCTTCCGCAGGTGCAGTAATATCTTTTAGCTAAAAATTTAATATTTTATTGCTTCGTTTTGGGACATAAAAACTTCCTATTTATTAGTCACTAAAACTTAGATTTCCCGTACTAAGTATCAAAAACAATATAACAATGCAATTGCTTTAGTCAAACTTTTATTAATTCACACAGCAAACTTTTTCTTTAGAGAATAAATATAAGAAAATGCTAGAATCTGCATTTTCTCGCAAAGTATATGGTGCAAAAATAAGTACATTAGTAAACTAAAGTCTTTACGAAGTTGATTGAAACCAGCAACCTAAGTATTTGAACGAAAAAATATGAAATGAAAATCAATTCTCAATCAGCAAACTCACATTTTGGCTGAACTTGGTTATATTTTACTCATTGTGCTGTTTCAATTAGCTTCATATAAACTAGTTTCAAAATTAATATGCATTAATCTCCAAAAATCTTATCAATTTAAACTAAGCTTAAGCCAACGTTTTGGTTAATTCATTTCTTATTATATTTAAATATTTGTAGGGGCACAGGAAGTCGAAATTGTGATACTGAGTATTGACTACCCTACTCGCTAACCCTATTAATAAAATATTTTCTCATATATTAGGATAACTTAAAATCCATATGACTAGAGAAAGTTACATTGAGTATAACACTAGAGTACGAGATATAATACTGAATAATACTGACAAAAAAAACATGGTTAGGTGACAAAACAAGTATTTTGACAAAACCAATAACGAAAATTCATTTATATGTCTATATTTTAATATATATCTAATGAAACCACTGAGGTGGTTCGGCTCAGCCACATTTTGTAATTATGCCAACGTCAAAATGTGGTCCTCTATTGGCGCAGAAATTTCATTGGATCTATGTCAATGGATTCTGACGAAGAAGTTTTATCTATCTCGTGTACGACGTCGTCGCCTGGCACGAACCACTTTTAGTCGTCGATGTCAACTTCGAAAAGTGATTCGACAGTAACCAACACGATCACAAAAAAGTAGTTCAAACCGCCGCGTTTCGCAGCTATACCGTCAAAATATTGTCCGGGGCCTCGAAATTTCACAATCTTTAACTTTTAAAATTGCCGGAAATGGGACGGTAGGCTACAGGACACACACCAACCAGTTTTTGCGTTCGCTATCAACTTCAAACAAGCATTTACGTGTTTCTAGAGATTTCTAGCTTAAATGGTTTTGTATATAAAGCGCGGAGTTTGTGAGATGCAGTCAGTAAGTTCAAATGAAATAATTGTTGTAAAACTTGGGATAAGTGATTAGGAAGTTTTGTACAGTCAATTAATTCATCAAAAGTGGTCGTTGTTGTTAACGAAAATGATAGTAGATCCGCAGAATCCGCGACAATTTGAGATTACCCCAGGAAAATTAGACTTCCTCTGCGGAATGAGGCCGAACAAGCTGAATTTTTGCAGAGACCTTCGTTTTGATGTTCTTAATGAAGCACAAAAAAATTGAATATGCCTACCTTTGTGCGTCTTGAGATATCGAAGGTAAAAGGTCACAAAAATTGTTTTTTTTTGCGAAAATCTCGCTTCCAGTGCATCTGACGTCGAAGAACTCCAAACAAAACTTACGTAAAATAGTAATTTCTACAAAATTGTTCATATACATTTTTTTATACGACCAACCGTTTTCGAAATATAGCGTGATAAAGCGAGAGCGCATATTCAAAATAGGTAATACTGTATTATACGTGGTGTCCCCGTTCAACTGATCAAAAATGCTAGGGTATATAGAGGAACCATAGAGAAGTAATTTGAGATAGGACAACGAAGGTCGGAAGTGCGTCGTTTCCAAAATACAGGGTGTTGAAATTTAAACAACGCCCTTTCATATCATCTGGAGGGTTAATGCTAGGCTGTTCAAATTTTCAGGAATTATTGATGTAGAAATGATATTTAAAAATTCGTATAATGCGACACCATTTTCTACCTAGAACTACCCCAAAAAAAAAAGAAAAAAATTGAAAAAAATTGTTTTTTTTTTTTAAATTTCAAGTATTTTTTATATTTTTTTTGGTATGATTCCAGGTAGAAAATGGGGATGTATCATACGAATTTTTAAATATCACACTTACATTCATAATCCCTGGAAATGTGAACAGCCTAGCATTAGCCCTTCAGATGATATGAAAGGGGGTTGTTTAAATTTTAACACCCTGTATTTTGGAAATTACGCACTTCCGACCATTGGTATCCTATCTCAAATTACTTCCTTATGGTTCCTCTATATACCCTAGCATTTGTGACCAGTTGAACGGGGACACCCTGTATAATACAGTATCACCTATTTTGAATCCGCGCTTCCGCTTTATCACGCTATATTTCGAAAACGGTTGGTCGTACAAAAAAATGTATAAGAATAATTTTGTAGAAAATACTATTTTACGTAAGTTTTGTTTTGGGTTCTTCGACGGCAGATGCACTGGAAGCGAGATTTTCGCAAAAAAACCGATTTTCGTGACCTTTGACCTTCGATATCTCAAGACGCACAAGGGTAGGCATATTCGATTTTTTTGTGATTCATTAGAACATCAAAACGAAGGTCTCTGCAAAAATTCAGCGTGTTCGGCCTCATTCCGCAGATGGCCCTTTTTTTGGTCTAATTTCCCTGGGGTAGATAAAAACTGAAATAATTGGCAAAATAACTACTGGATTAGTTTGAGCTAATTAGGTGACTAATTAGCGAGATCATTGGCGAAACCACTAGTGAATTAGTTCCAGCTAATTAGGGGCGTAATTACTGGTTTTGGCATCAGAAAACAAGACCATAGAATAATTTTTAGAATATCCCTTCGTGTTCTATCTGAAAATTAAAAAAGTTATGCTTCTTTTGATTTCGCTAGCGGACTTTATATTTAAAATCAAGTTTCAAGAAAGATATACCAAGTATTAGATGGTTAATACACTACAACGAACTTAAATGATGCTGAACTTCATGAAAAATTTCGAAGACAAGAAGAAAAAGCCCGAATACAAGAGACAGCACTTTTTCAACAACAAGAAGATTGGAGACAAAAACAAACAAAAAAAGTGGAAGAAAGAAAAACAAGAAGATGGAGGTCGAAAAGGGAAAAGACAATAAGAGGAAGCCGGACGACAAAAACAAAAGGAAGACGAGGAAGAATCCCGAAGACAGAAAAAACAGAACCGGTTTCAGAAACATTTCAGCAAGAATAGATTCAAACCGAAATCTCTGGAAGAGCAGGATAATATAATCAAGAATGTGATGGAAGAAGTACGTGAAGGAATTGGGAGGCTTTGTCAGGAATTTAGGACTCTTCGTCAGGAAGTTCAAAGTTTTTGTCGAGAAATGAATGGTGCTCAGAACAAAATTGAAAAGTTTTGATGTGTTTTGAGATCGGGAAATGTCTTAGCTTCGCCTGCAATTGCTAATGAAGTTAAGCCACTAACGAACAACTAAGAACACTGAAAGCGGTCGAAAGTTTGCAAGAATTTGAAACCAATATTCGCAGTCTGGTGAAGTTAGCCGACCCAGAAGCCATAGCCGAAAGTGTCATTAACGGAATTGGAGATATGAATATGCAGCGAATGTTACTCATAATTGAACATGTAACAGGAAAACTCTAATCAAATCAGAGCGGCCCATAAGATATCCAAACCAAAGATCAGAGATGTATTGAATGAAATGAAAGGCACAAAGAGGGAATTTCTGAAAGAAATACGAATGGTTGTTATCAGAATCAATCAAGGGAACTTAAAAAGGGCACCGATTATTACCGCTGCGGAAAAATAGGACATTACAAACCATTTTTCAACCGGCAATAGATCGAACAAACTAGCGGAAAAAAATCCCACGAGCGAGAAAAGAAAAACCAGGAACAACAAGATTGGTTAGATACAAATGTTGCTCTAGTAGGTCGACATTACCTACAAAACCAAAAATTCATCTACGAAAAGATCTGTATGACTACTATTAAATCCAATTTAGGCTGCTTTTTTGGTAAACTCACAAACTTCACTTCAAGTAGATCTTTGCTGCTATTACTAACCCAAACATCCGTTGAAATGCAACTTAACGCCGATTTAGGACGGTTGATATTTCAAGGAAGCAGATTTCGAACCAATTCAAACCGTTTTGTTGTTTTTAATGCAAGTTTGAACCAAAAATGTGTCTACGAAAGGATCTGTATAACTATTAGCTACAGTCTATGGGAAAAAAACCATGCAAGAGCGAGGGATGTACAGGGGGAAGGCATAGGAACTAGAGGGCATTATTTGACAAGAATAGAGATGTATGTGGATAGCTGGGCTGATGATGATAATTACGAGTATGACATAGAACATATAGATATAGAGGACATTATTTCCAAAGACATGGTTCTACGGACTGTAGAAGGCATAGTACTGCTGGTAGTAGGGAGATAGAGAACGCAAAATGGAATGGTTGGTGGTGCATCTTAGGGATCGGGATGAAATTAGATTGGTCCGGAGAAGCCGGCGCCACTGTTAGGTCCCAAGCGCGAAAAATTCAGGAATTTGTTCCGTTGTGTGCTTGTAGAAAATGGCTTGGAATGTAAAACTGAAATTTTATCAGCGCCATCTACTTATAAGTTGGGTAACATGAAAAATAACCCTTTTTAATCCTAAAACTTTGAAATCTTAACATCAAAGTGTTGACTAGAAACAGTTTCAATTCGAATAGATAATTAAAAAACTTGGATGAAATGCATTGAAAAAAAGAACATTTCTACAATTGGCTCCAAGACAACAAAATAATTAATTTTATTTCTTTAGTGCATTTTATAAATGCTATGTTTTGAACTTTTTTTATTTAAAATTATTTCAACTCACATTATAATCGTATAATATATTTTTTAAAGCATTATATGCTTCTCTGAATGAAATTATTGCTCAATAGGTAAGTTTGTTTTGAAATTGGCTTACTTGTAGTGTTTTGTTTCAATACCAATCGCTTGCCGACCCGTGGTTTTGCCAATTTTTTTCCTGTTCCGGGAAATTACTTCTTCTGTTGTGTTAATATAATACATGGAAAAAGCTAATATAAGGACTATAACACTCAATAGTATTAACCTACCTAAACCTAGAATGTATGGCACATACCTAATATCATTTCAATCTAAATAATTAAATTAGTGACAAACACAGGGTGTCAATGAGAATTGGAGAGATTAGTACTCATAAAAATAGGCAAAAAAAATCCTATATACATGTCGAAAAATTGTCAGTAGGCTAGTGTCTTTGAAGGGCTATGGATTCAAAAAACATTTATCTTCAACCTAAGCCTTAAAAAAAAAACGACATATATTTGTATACATTTCAACTTTTGATGTTGAAAAATTGATGGAAACTATATAATTATCAACATAACCTTGTTTTTATTTAATTATGGAAGGGCCGCGCAATCTGTCGCGCCGTATGCGGATTCAATGAATTTCTTCCATAAATTTGTTTTTCCCGATTTTTTTCTATGTTTCAATAGTATCTTATTCGGGGCTAAGACAAATCCAACAAAGCAAAAATCATAAAAATCGGCCCAGTCGTTCCCGAGTTATTGTAAGCAACCCGAGTTTTTTTTATATACAGGGTGTCCGGAAAGTCGACGATAATACTGATAGTGCTGATGGAGCAACTCATTAGCATCCAGAAAAACATAATATGACCTTAGTAAAAAATCGATGGTTTACCAGATATTGTCACTTTAATAATATTCGTTAAAATCGTCCTCTTAGATCATATTTTCGAGTGTCACTTCAAAATTTTCATTAATCTTAGATTCTGAATTCAGTTTTGCAACGGTAAATAAACATTTCATTTGTCATAGACCAACATTAAAAGTCAAAGTTCAAAACATTTACTAGAAAAAAATTCTTAAGTAAAGTATCACAATATCTCGGTAACCATCCATTTTTTACTAAGGTCATATTATGTTTTTCTGGATGCTAATGAATTGTTCCATCAGCACTCTGAATATTATCGTTGACTTCCCGGACACCCTGTATATAGATATTAGAAAAAACTGTTTTTTCTCCAATTTTCATAAGTACCATCACCGTTTAAATGACACCCTGCAAAATAAATATCACAAATAGACCAGAAAAGTAAACTATGATACCTATGATTATAGAATATCAATCTTGGAATGTGATGGAATGAATATAAATAAATAAATAAATACCTAAATAAATAAAAAAATAGAAAAATAAATAAATAATTTCGAATGTGTTAGGTATGGTAACTTATGTCGAAAGCTTAGAGGTACCTTATATTTAACAGGGTGATTCAGAAGTGAAGAATGAAAGCAATAAATTCAATTACTGCAGAAAAATTTAAGCATCTCCAAAAACCACTAAAAAACTCACTATTTATTTGTGTAACTATGATTTCATCCAAGGCCCAGGACATTGAACAAAATTAAGTTAAAAAAAATTGCAGAAATCTGAAAGCGTTGAATACTGCTTTGCAACCTATTTTGATGAATCCGAAACAAATAAATAATAAACAATCGAGTAAATAATTAACAATAACTTGTTGAAAAAAAGGGTCTAAACTTCGAATAACATTCACAAATGTATTATGATTTTTCAAGTTTGTATAACTTTTGTTATTTTGACCGATAAGTCGCTAGAG